GAATTACCTTAAATGACCCTGAAAACTAGTATTTCACCTTTAACTCCAAGTATTGAAATTCCAATTCAACAAACAGGAATATAGCAGCACTTGAAGGATATTGTGAAATTATTGTCCAAAACATCTTACAATGGGAACTCCTGCCACAGTCATAGATTTAAAGGCTTCTTATACATAAGTACAAAATTGAGACAGCAAGGGCAAGGTATGAGTATTTAGTACTCTGTAAACCATGATTCATTCACTCTGTATATCACTCTGCATTTGTGTTTCTGGATTTATTCTAAATTTTTTCAATCTTATCTACAGATTTGCACAGGTGAAGGAATGGATCTTCAGACTGACTGGCTTCCTTTGCAGCCTCTTGTCGTTGGGGTTTGGAATAATCCTCCAAAGCAGCCGATACTGGCGCCTCTGGGAATTCGATGACGGAGTTGTTCAGCTTGTGTACATTGGACTATGGGAAGCTTATTACCATCGGGAGTTTCGCATCTCTGGTTCTGTGACCAGGATTCTGGTGCACAGCCCTGTCAACTCGACCTGGACCATTTCACCTGAATTTAGATGTGCACAGATCCTGATCTTACTGGCTATGTTTATAAAACCTGTGGTGGTGATTTTTAGCTCAGCGGCTATTAGGGTTAGCATTATCAGAGCCTCAGTCCCTGAGATTCAGATACTCTGCTACAAGTGTTGTGTCTTAATTCTGCTTCTCAGCAGCCTTTGCACAGCTCTTTCTGTGACCTGGAACCATGTAGTAGATCTTTATGGTGAAACCACTCTTGATTTTCCACCCACCTTTCCTGTTAGGAAAGAAGACCTGATCGAAAAACACTACACTCATGTGTTCCCCATAGGGGTCCTGACAGCCACCCTGTCACTCTTTGCTATGATTATGTTCCTCTTTGAGATCAGGTCATTGAAATTACAGAGTAACCTGAATGCCCAGGGTGCTTCCAAGCAGGCAATCCAAATGCCTGAAGTATGAGCTCTGGTGTTTGCAAAATGAGCCAGAAGACTCCTTGGTCAAAATTACTAACATTACACAATATTCTTGTAGTGTTCTACTCACTAAAAATAAAATATTCCTTTGATTATTAGGCTGTGTCTGAAGCTTGTGTCTTCCTCTACATGTCTAATGTCTTCCCTTCCTTAAAGGTGTTCACATCCTAAGCTCTGCATGCAAAGATGATGTGTTCAGATAGTGCCAACTCTTTATGGCAGACAAATGTATTGGTGAAATGAAACTGGCATAAATCAAAAGACCAACCCTAAGGTGAGTGGTTTGTTATTAAAGTGAAATACAACACATGGAATTAATTAATTAATGCCCTAATGTGTATTAAAGAAACACTTTTAAGCCCTAATATATACTGCCTCTGAAGTCTTTCCCATGATGGGACTATCTGAAATTCGCAGGCACTTCCCGTCTACTCTGCTAGGCAAAGGGATCACTGTGTGGAACAACTTGGTAGGATATGGGCATGATTCAGCTGTGTGGAAGATCTCTGAGGGTTAGAGGATTCTACTGAATATGGTTAAGCCACTAATAATGCCATGAACCCACTCCATCCCAAAGAAGAACCTCTTTGGTGCTCTCACTGAAACAATGAAATGCCATCTCCAAATTGGAGAGATGGGGGAGGGAGCTGGTTTCTGGAAATTAGTGTCTGCATTTCCAAGGAGAGCTTCTGAATCATTATGTCTTCTCTGGGTTTAATCAGAAAACAGTGTTTCCCTAATGGGCAGCTCAACCCCTGGATGTAGTGACTACAGCCAGTGTTCCACTGAATAGCTGTATTTTTACTTGGTCTTCTCCCTTTGGTCCCTTCTTCCAGAATCATGTGTGTGAATAGACTTTGGTAGAGGAAGAGAAAGGACCAGTTAAGGTTCCTAATGAGAAAGACGAGGTAGACATCTATGTAAACTAATTGAGGTAGCCATGCTCGTCAGAGAAGCACTGGTACAAATTGTTGCTGCATGCTAATGTTTTTTTTTTTAATTTTTATTCATTTTCATACCAACCACATATCTCCCTTTCATCCCTCATCCTGCTCTCCCCACCCCTCTTCCCGTTCTCCAACAGGGTAAGTTCTCCTATGGGGGGGGCAGCTAAGCCTGGTATATTCAGTTGAGACAGGACCAAGACCCTCCCCAGCTTTTGAAGGGTGAGCAAGGTGTCTGACCATAGGTAATGGGATTCAGAAAGCCAGCTCATGCACCTGGGATAGCTCCTGATCACACTGCCAGGAGCCCTTCAAACAGACTAAGCTACACAACTGAATTCCCATATGTAGAGGGTCTAGTCTGGTCCCATGCAGGTTCCACAGCTGTAGGTCTAAAGTTCATGAGTTCCTTTGAGCTTGGTTCAATTGTCTCTGTAGATTTCCCCCATCATAATCTCGAGCCCCCTTGCTCATATAATCTCTCTTCCCTCTTTTCCACTGGACGCCCAGAGCTTGGCCTGGTGCTTGGTTGTGAATCTCTGCACCTGCTTCTATCAGTTACTAGATGAAAGCTCTATGATGACAGTTAGGGTATTCACCAATCTGCTTACCAGGGTAGGCCAGTTCAGGCACCCTCACCACTATTGCTAGTAGTCTAATCTGGGCTTGTCCTTGTGGTCCTGGGAATTTCCCTAGAAACAAGTTTCTCCCTTACCCCATAATGTCTCCCTCTATCAAGACCTCTATTTCATTGCTCTCCAACACCATCCCTCCCCTAGTTCGACCATCCTGTTCCCTCATGTTCCCAACCCCCATCCCCTCACCTCTTCCCCCCCATCCCCCAGTTTACTCATCGAGATCTCCTCTGTTTCCCCTTTCCAAGGTGATCCATACATCATCCTTAGGGCCCTCCTTGTTTCCTAACTTCTCTGGAGGCATGGGTTGTAGTATGAATGTTCATTGCTTTACATCTACTATCCACTTATGAGTGACTACATGCCATGCTTCTCTTTCTGAGTTTGGGTTACCTCACTCAGGATGATACTTTCTAGTTTCATGCATTTGCCTGCAAATTTCATGATGTCATAGTTTTTTACAGCTGAGTAATACTTTATTGTGTAAATGTACCACATTTTATTTATCCATTATTTCATTGAGGGGAATCTAGGTTGTTTCCAGTTTCTGCCTATTACAAATAATGCTGCTATGAACATAGTTGAGCAAGTGTCCCTGTGGTATGCTTGAGCATCCCTTGGGTATGCCTAAGAGTGTGGTATCATTGGGTCTTGAAGTAGACTGATTCCAAATTTTCTGAGAAACTTCCATACCGATTTCCAAAGTGGCCGTACAAATTTGGACTCCCACAACACTGGAGGAGTGTCACACTTGTTCCACTTCCTCACTAGCATAAGCTGTCTTCAGGGTTTTTGACCTTAGCCATTCTGACAGGTGTAAGATGGTATCTCAGAGTCATTTTGATTTGCATTTCCCTGATGACTAAGAATGTCCAGCAATTCCTTAAATGACTTTCAGCCATTTGAGATTCTTCTGCTGAGAATTCTCTGTTTAGTTCTGTAGCCAATTTTTTAAATTGGAATGTTTGTTATTTTGCTGTTTAATTTCTTGAGTTCTTTATATATTTTGGAGATCAGCCCTCTGTCACATATGGAGTTGGTAAAGATCTTTTCCCATTCTGTAGGCTGTCATTTTGTCTTATTTACTGTGTACTTTGCTTTATAGAAGCTTCTCAGTTTCAGGCGGTCCCCTGTATTAATTGCTGCTGTCGATGTCTATGCTACTGGTGTTATATTTAGGAAGTGGTCTCCTTTGTCAATGTTATCTATGCTACTTCCTTTCTATTCTATCAAGTTCAGTGTATCTCGATTTATGTTTAGGTCTTTGATCCACTTGGACTTGAGTTTTGTGCATGGTGTTAGATATGGATCTATTTGCAATCTTCTACATGTTGACATCCAGTTATGCCAGCACTATTTGTTGAAGATGCTTTCTTTTTTTCCATTGTATACTTTTGGCTTCTTTGTCAAAAATCATGTGTTCATAAGTGTGTGGATTACTGTCAGGATCTTCAATTCAATTCCATTGGTTCACATGTCTGTTTTTATGCCAATACCAAGCTGTTTTTATTACTAGAGCTCTATAGTAGAGCTTGAAGTCAGGGACGGTGATGCCTGCAGAAGTTGCATTATGAAGGATTGTTTCAGAAATCCTAGTTTTTCTGTTTCTCCATATGAAGTTGAGTATTGTTCTTTCCAAGTTTGTGAAGAATTTTTTTGGGATTTTGATAGTGACTGAATTGAATCTGTAGATTGCTTTCAGTAAGATTGTCATTTTTATTATGTTAATACTACCTATCCATGAGCATGGGAGATCTTTCCATTTTCTGATATCTTCTTCAATTTCTTTCTTCAAGGACTTAAAGTTCTTGTCATGTAGGTCTTTCACTTGTTTGGTAAGAGTTACCCCAAGGTATTTTAAATAATTTGTGGTTATTGTAAAGGGTGATATTTCTCTGATTTCTTTCTTGGCCCATCTATCATTTGTGTATAGGAAGGCTACTGATTTTTTTTGGTTAATCTTGTATCCTGCCACATCACTGAAGGTGTTTATCAGCTGTAGGAGTTGCTTGGTAGAATTTTTGGGGTCACTTATGTATACTATCATATCATCTGCAAATAGTGAAAGTTCAACTTCTTCCTTTACAATTTGTATCCCCTTAATCTCCTTTTGTTGTCTTATTAATCTAGCTAGAACTTTGAGTATAGTATTGAATAGATATGGGGAGAGTGGACAGCTTGTCTTGTTCCTGATTTTAGTGGAACTGCTTTGAGTT